TAATGCAAATGCCCTGAAGCAGACAACATCAGAGAAGTAGGAAGCTAACCCAAGATCCTGGAATAAGATCTTCTGCAAGTTATTAGACTTTCTGTTTTCTTCTTTTATTTCTTATGTAAGTTATAGAGATAGTTGTCCTTTTAAAATATTAATTGCATTTACAAGTGCCTTATTCCGTAGTAAATTTTATCTTCATGAAGTTAACTAAAAATCTTTGAATTTCGTTTTATGTTCTGTGCATATGCACATCATTAAACCCACTATATTACTTCTTGAACCCTAGTGTATGTAGTGCTGTAGGATAAGCACTGTACTGCTTACCATGAGGTCGGCGGTTCAAACCCACCAGGCACTCCTTGGAAAGCCTATACAGGGTCCCTATGAGGCAGAACCGACTCAACAGCACTCAGTAACAACAACCTACTTCTGAGCCCTGGTGTGGTGCTATAGGATAAGCACTGGACTGCTAACAACAGGGTTGGCAGCTCAAACACACTAGCCAATCTCAGAAACCCTGTCAGGGTTGCTAAGTGTTGGAACCAGCTTGATGGTACACAGTATATTACTTCTAATTAGTTCTTATTCCTTGATAAAATTAATTAGTGCGAACCACTCACATTGGTGTTTATATCTTTTTTTTCTCACTCTAGCTATTCTGACATTAATAGCCTTGCTATAGAAATTACAAGTTTTCCTATCTTCTTTTTTACATAAAAGGAAGTGAAGGGGAATTTATGTTATCATAGCTATTATTTTTATGATATTTGCTTTATTATATTTGATTAGTGTTTCTCCATTATAAAACTTTCCTGATGTATTCTCTCTTATTATATTATGTAATCCTTACCAATATGGCGTGAGAATGCATTGGTTAAATTAGCCCAATTGGTAGCTAGTGCCAGTTACTAGGTGTTGGCTGCATCATGTATCCCCTAAGTCTATGCAGGAAAATCCAGACTCTCTTTCAGCACTCATCCTAAATTATAGTTTGATACTAGATACTGCTACCAGTTATCCTGTCAGCTTTTAAGCAAATCATCTGAGTTAGACTATCACAGTGCCCTGGATTATTAGACTCACCTCAGGTACCATGCTGTAATTTAACCCAACCAGGTCATGGAACACTTAAGAACTTGCTTTGAGAAATGAAAGACATCCAGAGAGTCTACCAACAAGCTACTTCATTACACTCTAGAGACATTATGCTAGGTTCACCCTCCCTAGACAGATTGAGCTGGTTGCCTCAAGGAATTGGTTCATGGACCAGGTCAGTTTTACTAAACTGGGCTAATGATACTAATTGCTGTTTTTGAAATTGTTGGAAAATGAAATGTTATGTGAAATGTATGATCAATAATCTTACTCAAAATTCTAAAATGCCCTTAAATACAATCATGTACATAGGTAAGAACTTTCATAATGTGTTTGAAATCTCATCCTGGACTCTGTTCCCTAGAAGTCAAGTTGTCCCTTCATTGTGGCCACGCTATCTATATACCCTAGTCTCAGATCAGAAAAGCAGAGGCCCAAGCTATGGCATCACAAAACCTAGAAATATGGTGCCTGCTTACTAGTACAGAGATAGAGTCTGGGATCTTATAAACCTATTGAAAATAGACATCCTTCTAACAAACCAAGGAAATAAGTCCATGTGGTAGAAGTCACTCTTTAAACAGGATTTCTACTGAAATCCTTGATCAAGAGGAGGGAATGTGAGAGAACCCTAAATTTGAAGCACTTGTTTTAGCATGGATGGTTGGCCTAAGACTGACCACAAATTCCATTTTAACAAAAATGTTGTCTTTGATACCATTAACCTTTATATGGACTTAAGCATGTATTGAAAGCAATGTTTTTCTCTGTGGTCAAATCAAAAAGGGATATCACAATATGTTCTCAGGGCTCCTGATGCAAGTTGTTACCAGAAATCCCCTGCCAAGATAACCCCAGGAGATGTGATACTTGCAAAAACAATTTTTATAATACATTCCCAGAGGAGAGTATCCTCTAGCTGTGACCACCTCACAGTGTCCAGCTTTAGTCACAAACTTCTGCAATTAAATTCTTTAACCAATCTTACACACCCACCTAAACCTTGTTGTCTTATCCCTTACAAGTCCCACTTCGGGAAAATCTGACTTTAGCTTTCCTAATGGTCAACTCTGCAATTAGAATTTTTGCATTTTGAAGTCCTTGATTTTTCCATACGATTGTACCTGTTCAGCTCCACCATTACTGAAGAAATCCGTTGTGGATTTTACATTTCTCTAGTTCAAACTGTTTCAATCCACCAATAAACTTCTTTGTTTTCACTTTGACAAAAGACAGTGCTGAATGGAAGCTGCTAAGAACATTACAGCCTTTGTGAGTGGGCCTGGAACCTAGTGGCATCCATAGACACAGTGTCTTCGGGAGGGTGGCAGAGACTGCCATATTGCCCTTACCTTCTGGGTACTTGTAGAGGCCTGTGATGTCCACGCGAGAGTCGCTGCCCACTGCCTTGGTGCTGATGCATCTCCCAATCTTCTTCGTGTCTGAGTATACACGCTCCCGGCTCTCATCCTTGTGCCAGAGCCAGGTGATGTAGTCTGCATTGACCTCCGCAAACACAAATGGGCCATCATGGGCCAGGTGAACATCGCCCTCACGGATTGCAGTGACTGAGGCTGGGCCACAGCGAAATACACCTGGGCAGGAGAGGTGGGCATGAGCTGTGTGGTGAGGAAGATCAGGGATCTGGGGACCTGCCTACTGAGCCTGTACCTTCGCTCTCCTCCTGGGGGGTGGCATCCAGAACCTGCCAGCCATTGTAAGTGGGGCCTAGGTCCTGCCGGGCAAACCAGCTTTCATTCCAGACATGGAAATTCCTGCCGTAGAGAGAGAAAAGGGTGAGGTGAAGTAGGGTGAATATAGAAATCCAAAGGAGAGAAAGTTCCTACTGTGAACCTTGCTCTGGGCCTGGTACTCAGGGGGGCTCTGACTGAATCTTGAGAACCACTCCTTTAGATGTGCATTATTAGTGTTGTTAAGTGTCAGTTCTGACTCATCGTGACCCTATATGGGGTTTCTGAGGAGCGACTGGTGTGTCTGAACTTCCAACCTTGTGATTGGAAGTCCAGTGCTGCACCTACAGTGCCACACCAGGACTCCATTCAAATGTATGAGGATCACATATTAGATATGTGCCAAGGATCTGTTCAAAGTGTCAGAAATCCAATTGTGAATTAGGTAGAGGACCCTCACCCTCCTGCAGGTTAGCTTCTAATAAAGCAGACAGTTGGGGAGACAGACAAAATTAAGTAAATAGACGAATCAAAGAAAGACAAGTAACAGTCAATACTGTGAGAAGAGAGGGTGACTGCAGGTGACATAATCTAGGTAGTGACAGCTAAGGTGTGACCTAAATGAGACAGAGCTAGCCACAGGGAGAGTAAAGGGAATGGCATTGTGGACAGTGAGAACAGAAGCTGCAAAGTCCTGAGACCAGAAAAGGCTCAGAGGATTCAAGGAACAGAAAGGATGTAGTAATCGCGGAGGTAGGACCATCACACAGTGGAGGTAGACTGCAGATTATACAGCTCTGCCGGCCTTAGGAATGCATTTAAAAATTTTCGTGTTAAAGATGAGGAGAGGGAATGATGGGAGATGAGGGAAGAGAAGGAGAGGGAAGAAGAGAGGATCAGAGGGGTGGTGTGAGGCTGGAGATCAGATGGAGGGAAAGATGCCTGGGCACGTTCCCCTGGGGATTGCTGAAGGACACTCTAAGAACAGGGATGTTGAGGCTGTCTGTATGTCTGTAGGTATACTGTGCACTGCCTGCCCTCATCTTTAGGAAGATGACCCAACAAAAAAATGTTCATGTGACAGATTTGCCTGTATATGAATAGACATTCATATACTGAAACTTTGTTTATAAAAGCAAATGTTTAGAAGCAATCCAAATGTCCATCCATACTAGGTAGTTACATAAATGATGGCTTTTCCATGAAACTGAGAGGCAGAACAAGTTCAGACTCTGTTCTTCTGCTCGCTAGCTTTGTGGCCTTAGACAAGTTACTTAACCTCTCTGTGCCTCAGTTCCCGATCTGTAAAAAGAGACAACATACTAAGTGAGTCACAGGTTGCTTGGAGGGATACTTGAGTTAATAGTTGAACAGCACTCGGGACTGGGCTTGGCAGGCTAGGTGTTCATTGTGCCGAGTGTTATTATGAACACTTCAAACACTTTGCAACATAAGGAAACTCTGTATGTAATGCTGTGAAACTGTTAAATGTACAAGCAAGAACAGATTGGCTCTATGCTGCCAGGTACAAGAGGGGAGTGGGATTGTGTCTACGCATGCTGTTCTATCTGGAGAATCTCTCTGAAAGGCTACATGAGAAACTAGTCATCCTCTGTATCTGCGGAGGAGGACGCTATGCTTGGGGAAGTGGGTGGGAGAGAGATTTTTCTCTTTAACCCATTTTGTAGTTTTTGAGTATTAACCTGCCCACATGAATGTATTTCTTGTTTTTTAAAATTAAATTAAAAGTAACTTTCAAAGCTCTGTATGAAGAGTTTAGGTTTGTTTTAACTGATGGAAGTGGCTGTTTCCCACCTGGAGAATACAGCACAGGACCCAACATGGAAGTGACTATGTTGAGGAAAACCCCTAGGAAGGCACAGGAATCTGGGGAGGGCTCAGATTCCCACAGACTGCGCAGTTTAGAGCTGAGCATTCAAGGCAGTCACATCTTGGACCCTCTCCTGACCTCTGATCCCTCTACCTCTCAGAAGATGAGTCCTGCCTCTTGGGGCCCCACCCCACACTCCACAGGGCATCTCTTGTTCCCCACAAAACTGACTCAGACTCAGAACAGTGGGATTGTAGGTCTGGGTCTCTCCCTCCCTGACTATGATGGAAGATGTGGCCTTACCACACCTGCTGGGCTTGGGGAGCCCTGGCCAGGCACTCCAACCCACCACATGCTGTCTTCTGTCAGGTCCTCCAGGGTCCGCCCGAAGGAGTCCACGTATTTGTCCACACTCAGGCTCCTGTCTGTGTCATGCGCCGAGTTGAAGTTGGAAACAACCCTTGTGGCGATCCCCAGGCACCTAAGGACTGAAGAGCAGGGGGTCAGAACATTCCAGGAGCAGGTCAGGATCCCAGACCTGGGAGAGGGGCTGCTCTCAGCAGGCAGCACCTCATTTCAGACCAAAGTCCCTCCCTGTCTCCTCTGGTCTGTCTGCCTTGGCCGGGCTCAGCCTCCCATCTGCTTTCTCTGCTGTGTACCCTCGCTGGGGTCTTCTGGAGACACCACCACCCCTGTTATATTAGATGGACTGAGGCTGGGGGACCATGGAGGTCATAGCTTAGAAGTGTTCATTTTCCACAGTTGAACCTAAGGCCTAGGGATCAGCAGGGCTTGCTCAAGGGCACACAGTAGGTAAAGGCAGAGGGAGGTTGTTGTTGTTAAATGTCTTTGAATCGATTCCGACCCATAGCCCCCCTGTATAAGGTTTCTAAGGAGGGCTGGTGAGCTTGAACCGTTAATCTTGGGGGTCAAACCGACTACTTTGCAGTCCGACGCATTAACCCACAGTGCCACACCAGGATTCCACAGAGAAAGGTAGGAACTCCAAATTAAAAAAAATTAAAAATCATGTAAACAAACTATTTTTTTTTCTCTTATCACCAACTAGACTTCTCCACCACAGATAAAGAAAACTGAATTTTGACCTATGCAAATATATGCAAATACAAACAAAGGGGAAATCTCTGTGGTAGACAAGGGACCTTCTTTCTTAAGTACCTGTGCACATGACTCCAGCGAAGACCCAGCACTGGCCGTATTTGACTGGCTTGAACCTGCTCTTGAACCACTTCTGCAGAATGGCCACACTGCCTTGCCAATGCAGTGGGCTGGTGCCGCCACCATACTTGCCTTGCCACTGGCCTTGCACCACGCCCCGGTCATTGTTGCTGTTCACCTGGGAGGAAAGGACACAGGTCCACAACCAGGCAGGGTTCCTTCAAGGTGTCTGCCTGGCTTCCCCTCCAGAAATGTCACCACTGTGAAATCATCTCCAACTTTGGACTACCCACTGGTTTGGGCCCGCCCCTTACTTTTAAATTGCCTGGAAATTGGGAGCATCTGCTGCCTCCAAGTCCTGCATTTTGGTACTATTTGCCTTTTTTCAATTCTTTGCTACTTGGATCTTCTGATGTATAATTTTAGTATTTCCTGTTGGGCCTATTGCTGGTGTAATCCTAGAGACAGTTCACATTTATTAAATGCTTAGTGAGTGCCAGCACTGTCCTAAGGACTCTGTGTACACCACGGTGGCTAAGTCTGTGAGATAGGTTCTATTGGTTTCTCTCTCTTTTTTTACAGAGGAGAAAACTGTGGCTCTCAGAGTGGTTAAGGGACTTGTCCAAAGTTGGTAAAAGGTGACCCATGAATTTGATATTTTGACCTGGGAGCCTGCGTTGTTGTCTACAGTGCTGTGATCTCTACTGTTTGGACTGATTGCTACTTTTGATGATCTCTGTTCCAACATTTCTGTAAAATCTTGAGGAATCCAGAGTATTAAATACGAAAACTGAACCTTGGTCTATTTTTGGAGTCTTAACTACCCATCCCTGCCCTTGCCATTGGCTGTGATAAAGAGTGCTCCTATTTAGGGAGGACAGCATGGGGCCTGTGAGCTATAACCCTTCCCCTTGAATATGGGTGTGGCTATAGTGCTTTCACCAATGGTTATGGTGGAAGCAATGCTGTCAGTTTCCAAGCCCAGGTTTTGAGCCTGAGTCCACTTCCTCTCTGTTGGGACAATTGCACAGTAGCCCCAGCGGCCATGTTAGAAGTCTAATTGCCCTGAGACCACCATGCTGTGAGGAAGCTGAAGCTAACCACATGGGGAGACTGCATGAAAAGAAAAAAAAATGCTTGGCTAGCCCCAGCCATCTCAGGCCAGGTATCAGACATATTGGATATTTCTGCTTCAGCAGACATGACATGGAAGAGAATCAAGAAAGTATCAGCAGCTAGAACCAAGAACCCAGATATATGGTCTTGATCAAACCATCCCAGGCATCTGCATCCCAGACACCTACAGCAGACACAAGTCATCTCCACAGTGCCCTGCCCAAGTTCCTGATCTACAAAGTTGCAATCTTAATAAATGGGGGTTTCATGACACTGACTGTTGCAGTGGTTTGCTACATAGCATCAAAACAGGGGTGCCTTGGGAAAAATCATGGGGTGTTGCCTTGGGAGAACCATCCTGGGGAGCCTCACCATTGCACTGATCACTCTGGTGATGTAGATGGGGTCATGGCGGTGGGACACGTCGGTGGCTGGGTTGTCTAGGTGACTGGGGCTTCGGTCCAGGATGGAGAGGCAGATATTCAGGATGTCCTCCTCAAACTGCTTCCCAGAAAGGCTATGCTTAGAGGCTAGTGCCTTGCCCATGTCTGAGACCCTCCCATACACCCAGTCACTTGTATCAGTGTGGAGGGTTCATTCCAACCTCACCCCCAGGGACATCACGGAGCATCTACAAGTCTCAGAAACCCATTCTCAGAGTCACTTGGGGACCAGAAGCTCAATTTTAGTTATGTCCCTCTACTGTTCAGTAGCCCTCCATGGCTCCCCTTTACCAACAGTAAAGTCACAAAAACTCTTGGGCTGCATCCACTTCTTCTATATGCTGATACGGTCTATTTGATGTTTTCTAGTACATAGATTTGAATTTGTTTAAACAAAACAAAACAAAACTGGGGGATTTTTACATAAAAATGAAGAATTTGTGGTCTCTGAAAATTTGGAAGGTCTAGGAACCAGTCCTAGTGTGGCATGGTGGGATATTGCACTACACCTTGTGGTCGGTTTGAACCACAAGGTCGCTGGTTCAAACTCACCAGCCACTCCTTGGAAACCCTATACAGGGTCATTATGAGTCAGCACCAACTAGAGGGCAGTTAACAACGACAACAACGAGGAACCAGTGAAGGAGCTGTGGTGCCAGAGTGGGTTGCTTATTAAAAGGTCAGTAGTTCAAACCCACCAGCTGCTCCCTGGAGAAAGATGCAGTTACTTGCTTCTGTAAAGACTTATAACCTGGAAACTCTAGGGAGCAGTTCTATTCTGTCCTGGAGGGATGTTATCTAAGTTCGAATCGACTCAGCAGCACTTGATTGTGATTGATAGGAATCAGTGAGTACTGAGTAGGGGTTAGCCAGACCCTAATTCTCTAGCATAGCACACCCGCTCAGTCTCGGAGTCCCAAATAATCAATCCCTGGTCTTCAGGACAATGCTTAAGCTGCCCAACTTGTTCCTGGCTGGGGAGACCTGATGTTTGTTTTGAGATTCCACCTTCCTCCCTGTTGAGCACCTGGGCTTGGACAGACCGACTTCTTCAGCAGAGCCTCAGATGGCTCTCACACTTCCCACCTCCACATTGCTGCATCTGTTCTTCCTTCTGCCTTTGGAGATCTGCCTCCAATAGAAACAAGGTATTCCCAGTCCCTGGGTAGAATTTTCTGAATTTCCTTTCTACTCTACTAGTTTGACTTTCCTTCTCCATTGCACCTTGGACTGTAACTATTTAACTAAGCCAGTGGCTCTCAAGGTGGGCTCCCAGACCAGCAGCATCAGCATCACCTGGGAGCCATCTAATCGGTTCCGACTTATAGCGACCCTGCAAAGGGTTTCTGAGGAGAGATTGGTGAATTTGAACCACTGACCTTGCAGTTCAGTGCATTATCCCACAGTGCCATACCAGGACTCTGGAGTTTTTTAGAAATGCAAATTCTCTGCTCTGTCTCAGACTTACTGAATCAGCAACTTTGGGGGTGGCATCCAGCAAGCTGTGTTAATGATTCCTTCAGAGGATTCAGATGCCCTGGAAGGGTTGAGAACCTCTAATCTAAGCTTTTTTCTTTCCATAACAGAACTGACCTATTGTATTTCCAGACTGTATTTGAAGTGCCTCCCCTCCCAAGGACCTAGCACAGGTCTTGACACAATTAATGAATGCATTTGTGCCAGGAATCAGCCTAACTTATTCCTGTCTTGGGTCAAGTGAGCAGACCAAGGGCTCTGAAGCTGACTTCACCACCCAGCCCACACCCCATCTGGCCTGTGCCCCTGGAGACCTGCCCGTAGTTCCAGCCTTGGGCTCGGATGTGCTTCTCCACGCCTCGGAAGATGACTCCACTGTCATTGAGCACATACTCCTGTCGCTCGTCCTCCTCCGCCAGAAACACATCATCCTCTGAAAAGCAGTCATCAGGCCCCGCATGGGCTGGAGCTCTGGCCGTGGTGGCCCGGGGAAGGGGCTGCATCAGGGGTCAGCAGCAGGACAGTGCCTGGAGGCTGCAGAGCACAAGGGGACACTTCTGCCAAGCCCCTGATCCCTCATCCCACCCCATGGGATGTTATCTCTTCAAGCAGGACCCAACCCTAACCCAGTCCAAGACAAAAAGATATTAGGAGTTCTGACACCTTTTGATGACCCTCTTTGATGCCAACAACGGTAGCCTTGCATTTCTTAAGTATTAATAAGAAGATTCCCTATTAATAATAAGATATCAGCAGCTCACAAACCACTCCTTGGAAACCTGATACAGGGTCGCTATGTGTTGGAATGGACTTGATGGTGCTTCACAACTCTCTACTGAGGCCTTACTGTGTACCTTGTATTTTACAACCAATGTTGTTGTTGTGAAGTGCTGTTGAGTGAGTAAGTCATAGCGACCCCGTACAGGATTTCCAAGGAGCGGCTGGTGAGCTTGAACCACCAATCTTGCGGTTCAAACAGATCTTGCAATCTAGCTCATTGGTAGAGCTGTGACTAAATCAAGACCTGTCTGACATCAAAACCCAGGCTCTTACAACTTCTGGACCTCTTCTGGTCATCTGGAGCTTCTCACTGCACACTGGTCTCCAGGACCCCTCCCTGCCCCCACATCCCCCCACCCTCTAGTCCCCATGATATGGCTTCTTTGTAGTACCTGCTGCTAGGTTCCTCTGCCCAGAGCCCACCACTACCTAGCCCAGTTTGGCTCAGGTCTTGACATTCACCTTCCTGTCCTTTAGCCTGCCTCCTGGATACCCTTTAGTCTCCCCCAAAGGCAAATAGCTTCTGGGAATATCTCTGCCTTGGCATTGCAGCTGCTACCTGTGCACCATGGGTTGAAAAGTAGAACAAACTCGCCCAGCTTCCTGTTGCTGTGCTTGCGGCGAGAGGAAACCCTGGCGCTCAGCCGGTAGCGGCCAATCACAGCGTCTGGAGGGCTGGTGAGGCTGACGGTCCGGCTGTTCTCAGTCTGAGCCTCCTGGACTGCTCTCCAGACAGCGCCCTCCTCTGGCTCTGATGTCTGGAACACTGCTTTAGTGTGGAGGGCCTCAGAAGCCTGTGGTCCTGGGGGAGAGGAAAAGAGGTCAGGAAACCCAGCCATCCCAGGGAAGACCAGCTACAGAGAAGCAGCGAAGCTGCAGGCCTGAACTGATGGAACTGTTGGAGAAACGATGTGGCCAAGGTATGAGAGACCAGTGGCTAAGCAGGATACACGCCAATACACGCTGCTGTCCTGACTCCCAGCCCTTTTTGGACCAAAGAGAAAGTGAGAGGATCCTTGAAACCAAATGTCTGGTTTCTGAGTTTGTGTAGCTAGAAGCAGAGGATAAGCATGGCTTCCCAAACTGCACAAGGACTTCCCATGCCCTTCTAGAGGCCTTGGCTTCCTGGGTTCCTAGTATTCCAGACATCTATTCCTGGAAAACTGTTATCAAAAGCCTCCAGGATTTGAAGTCCAATCCACCTACAAGGAGTTGCTTTCCCTAATGTCTGTGCCAAACCTGCAATGCGAGGGTCTCGGGTGATGGGTCAGAAGATAAGCCTCTCTGAACTGATTGCAGGCCAGTAGGGGTGCTGTGAGGTACAGTTACCTGTCTCTACTGTGAAAATGAGGGCCTCCTGGCTCTCCAGGGCTCTGCTGAAATTCATTATGATGGTGAACATCTGGCCCCTGCGAACCACCAGATTAGGGCTGGGGAACTCCTGGGTATGGTGGGTAGTGCCATTCTTCTGCTGCTGCCAGTCCACGTCGGTGATTCTGACCCCTGGGTGGTGAGAGGGCAGAGATGAGACCATGTCTTCAAAATGCATCTCAACCCTCACCTGGCTTGTTCACCTGTTAGATTCATTCAGCTAGTTACTTGTTCATCCCAGCTCTACTTATTATGTAGATTCTCTGTGTCAGGCTGACGTCTGGCATTGGGGATCTATTGGTGAACAGGACAGATGTAGGCCTGCCTTCAAGACAGCACAGTGAGCCCATGGAGAGCAATGACCATAGAACTGCCTCCAGGCTCAACTGCTCTTGGTTCTAATTCTGAAACAGTCATCTAATGGCTGAATTACCTTCTACTAAACCTCTCTGTGGAGTCCTGGTATGGCACTGTGGGTTACTGTGCCAGACTGCAAAGCCATTTGACTTGCAAGGTTGGTGGTTCAAGCTTACCAGCTGCTCCTTGGAAACCCTATTCAGGGTCACTATGGGTTGGAACCGACTCAACGGCACTTCACAACAACAACAACAACAAAAAACCTCTCTGTATCTCTGTTTCCATATCTCTAGAATGGGAATAATTATACCTTAAGGGATGATTATGAAGATAACTACAGGTCTTTTAGAGCTCTTAGAACACAAGCGCTATCATACTCCAGACTAACAGGTGTGACAGATGCTAAGCTGATGGATCCACAATGACCAATTGTCATTTCCTTATATGCGCTCAAGGAAATGTAGGCTGAACTGAAGAATATCTACCAAAGGGGCTGACCCAGTCTGAAAGGTGACATGGAGACTACCTTGAGAAGGTGGCATCAAGACTGAGTCTTGATTTGGAGAGATGGGTGGCACATCTGACCTCAATTCAAACATTCTCCTTCAGTTGGCTGGAGTTTCACTATAATGCAATAAGGATTATGGCGTCTGATTCTGTGTTGGGCATTGCTCTGGATGCAGCTGATGCAGGGATCCCAGAAACAGACTCTGGCCCTAGGCTCAGGCAGCTGGCTCTCTAGTAGTGGAGGTGGACAATAAGCAGATAATCTCAAATGTCAAAGCACAAATTTTGGAAAGTACCACCAGGGTATGGCCTGGGAGACTTGGGAGTGTGGAACACAGCGAGGCAAGCAAGGAAGGAAGGGAGGTGGTTGACTTCTAAAATTTGAGAGAAAGTGTGAAGTTGGATGGATCTACATGAGTCATCTCCCCTCTTTCACTTCTCTTGAGCCACACTGGCCAATTTACTGTTCTATGACCTTGCCAGGGATACCTCCTTTTCAGAGCCTTTGAGTATGTTGTTCCCTATCCTGTTAGAAACCTACATAACTTGTTCCCTCTCCTCTGCAGTGAGGCTTTCCTTCACTACTCTCTCTCCCTTTTAAATAACATTAATGATTTTATCAAGTTGTGCAACCATCAGCAGTATCTGGTTTCCAACTTTTCCATCACCCTTAACAGAAGCTCAGTTCTATGTGGAACAGAGATGAGCCGTCCCTGCAGAGCCCTGTCCAAACTGTAGGTCCCCAAGCAAAAGATGAAGCTGTCTACTCCTGTAAAATTTTACAGTCTTGGAAACCCTGTATAGTGTCATTATGGGTCAAAATTGACTAGGTGGGAGTGGGTTTGGCAGCAAAAGAATGATTGTTGTTATTTTAAAACACTAAGTGTTGGGGTGATTTGTTACAGGGCAATAGATAACCGAAATACGGAGGAATGGAATTCCTGGGGTGGAATTATCTAAAGGCTTAGTGGGATCATGCCTCAAACTTAGATTTAATTCATTTAAGTAGCATCTGTAAATGTAACATAATTTTCACATCCAAATTTGTAGCTGTCAGTTCATACCTGCTGAAATGTTCAATATGAAACTCTAGTGACTAGATAAGTTTTAAATACCCTTTTCCAATAAAAATACTCAGTTCTTCTTTCTAACCTGCAAACCATAACTCAGAGGCTGGATAAGCATGGAAGCCACCCCTTCAATGATAGTTATAATAAGCAGTTGAAGAGGTGACACATGTAGTACTCATCATGAGTCAGACACTGTTGTCTGTGTTGATTTGTATTTCCAAACTTATTCAGTCTTCATAATCATCTCATGTAGTAAATACTATTATCATCTCCATTTTACAGATAAGGAATCTGAGGCACAGAGAGCTTAAGCACCTTAATCAAGGTCATACTGCTAGTGATGGTGGTACCAGGAATCTATGCTATTCTGCCTTCCTGATGATTATGGGCAGAGACCAAATCTTTCATAGTCAGAGGTTGGAATGGAAAAAACACAAGGTTTGGAGCCAGACAAGCCAGAGCCCTAACCCCTGTTCAGCCCATATCTCACATGACCTTGGGCATGTCACTTGACCTCTCAGAGTCTCAGTTCCCTAAGCTAAAGAATAGAGGTAGTTATAGTACCAACCTTACAGGATTCTTGGTAGGACTAAACCAAGAAGCCTGCTCCTATATGAGTTCCAATGGCCTGGTTGTTGTTGTTATTGTTAAGTGCCATCAAGTTGGTTCTGACCCATAGTGACCCTGTATAGGGTTTCTGAAGAGTGGCTGGTGATTTGAACCATGGACCTTGTGGTTCAAACTGACTTTGAAGTCCAGTGTACTAACCCACAGGGGCCTATCAGGTGGTTGGTACAAAACAGGCACTCAGCTAATGTCATATTTCTTCTCTCTTTGTAGTTAGTGGGATCCACTCTCTGATACCATAGGTTTCTGCCCTTTTTCCTGTTGCCTTGTGCCTCCTTCCCATGGCCAAAGCCCAGGCCAAGGCCAACCATCTCTTTCCTCTGTGAAGTGTGAGAATGCTGAGGAGTGCTCCATAACTATTTCTCATCCCTTGTTCATAGCTGGTCCCAGGGTCATCCTTCACCAGCATTGAACATTTATGAACTGACTGCAGTCCCTTGGTGAGAAGGGAGACACAGCCACACTATCTCCAAGAAACAAGGTCAGTTTTCATGACTCCTTAAGGTGTTTCTCCTTCCCCAAGAAGAAGACTTAATTACTCAGTCTGGTTCTTGAGACCCCTGCCATGAAGGTTACCTATTTCTTCCCCAAACTCCTCTTATTTCTCTGGCTCCCAGAGTAGTTGAAAAACACACCTTGGCATCTCTTAGACCTGGGTCAGCATCCTAGTTCTACCACTAACTCACTCAGTGTGTGGCCTTGGTATACCTTAACTCTCTCAACCACAAAACTAGGCATGATGATAGTTTTCTCAGCTTAAGTAACAAGATTGGATGATATATGAACAATACTGGCACCTAGTAGGTTACCATCAAATGTCCATTTCTTTCCTTCTGTTACATGGTAAGTGTGGTACATTGTGTTTTTGAAAGATAGTTTCATCAATAAATAGATAGATACAGATTTATAGATAGGTATAAGACTTCTGGTGTGGTGCTGTGGATCAGCACTGGATTGCAAACCATAAGGTTGGCAGTTCAAACCCACTAGCTGCACCTCAGAAACCCTATATAGGGTCACTATGAATCAGAACCCACTCAATGGCACTTAACAACAACAACAACATAGACACTCCAAACCCGCCAGTCACTATGAGTCAAAACTGACTTGATAGCACTTAACAACAAATAACAATAGGCAGGTAAAGATAGAGATGTAGGCATCAACCTAGACAGGCAATTTAGATAGAGATATAGGGACACTGCTGTTGTTAGGTGCTGTTGAGTCAGTTCCAACTCATAGTGACCCTAAGTACAACAGAATGAAACACTGCCATCCGCACAAGTCTTATGTTTGATCTCGTTGTTGTTGTCACTGTGAAAATCCATCTTGTTGAGGGCCTTCCTTTTTTTGCTAACCCTCCACTTTACCAAGCATGATGTCCTTCTCCAGAGACTGGTCCTTCCTGACAGTTATGTCCAAAAGGCAAGAAATGAAGTCTTACCATTGTTGCTTCAAAGGAGCAATCTAACCATACTTCTTCCAAAACAGATTTGTTCAGTCTTCTGCTAATCCATGGTATATTCAATATTCTCCACCAACTCAAATGCACTGATTGATTTTTTTTTTTTTCTTCTTTATTCACTGTCCAGCTTTTGCATGCAAAAGAGGTAGTTGAAAATACCATGGCCTAGGGCAGGTTGGCCCAGGACCAGGCAGTGTTTCGTTCTGTTGTACATAGAGTCGCTATGAGTCGGTAACTACTTGATGGCACCTAACAACAACAAGGACAGGTGCATCTTAATCCTCAAAATGATATCTTTGCCTTTGAACACTATAAAGAGGCCTTTTATAACAGATTTGCCTAATGTAATGTCTTTTGATTTATTGACTGTTGCTTCCATGAGTATTGATTGTGGATCCAAGTAAAATGAAATCTTTGCCAACTTCAATATTTTCTGTTTATCATGATGAGATTTATTGGTCCAATGGTGAGGATTTTTGTTTTCTTTACACTGAGATGCAACCCATAGCAAAGGCTGTAGTCTTTGATCTTCATCAATAAGTATTTCAAGTCCTCTTCACTTTCAGCAAGCAAAGTTGTGTCATGTGCATATCATAGGCTGTTATTTAGTCTTCCCCCAAACCTGATGCCATGTTCTTCTTCAGATAATCCAGCTTCTTGGACTATTTACTCAGTATACAGATTGAATAAGTATGGTGAAAGGATACAACTCAGGTGCACACCTTTCCTGATTTTAAACCATTCAGTATCCCCTTGTTCTGTTTGAATGACTGTCTCTTGACTTATGTACAGATATAGGTATAGATGTAGGCACAGGTATAGATATAAACATAGATATAAACACAAGCATAGACAGATTCCATCCCACATGCTTGTCTTACAATTTGACGCCTCACTTGAATCTGGGCAGGGTCTTGGGATTTCTCTGACTAATACATATGGCAGAATGTGAGTGTTAGATGGCATCTGATGCCAGCTTATAAAAAGAAGGCAGCTTCCATTTCACTAGTTCTCTTTCAGGAAAAGCACCTTTGGAATCTTGAGCTGCTACATAAAAAAGGCCAACAGGAAATCACCATACTGGAGAGGCCAGGTGGAGATATATGAGAAGTCTTCAGTTGCTTAAGTTTTCCCAGA